GGTAAATTTAAATTCAGCATAAACAGCTATTTACCTCCCTCTAGGTGTTAGTTGGGTCGAACTTCGTCATTTCAAGTGGTATCAGAGGCTCATTTCGATTCGTGACCCATATTTAATTTAGATAAGTCTGTCTTTTTCCATGCCTCTAGATGAGTGGATTTGGGTTAGTGTACAAATTGATTGGACCACCCTTTCCTCTACCGTTTCGGCCCTTCCTCTACTGTTTCGGGTGTAGTTACCCCCATGGGCATTTCTCTTTGGACCAAAGATGTACTAGATAAGTGCAACTGGGATAGTAAAGGGCTTCATACCCTATTTATACATGTGTTTGCTGAAAAGTTTAGGAGAGTGTCGATGTGTGAAACCGCGAAAGAAGTTTGAGATATTTTACAGACCAACGAGGGAACCAAAATCGTTAAGAACTTAAAGCTGCAGATGTTAACTACTAGGTTTGAATAAATTAAAATGAATGATGATGAATTCTATGAGAAATTGAATGACATAGTGAACTCTAGTTTTAACCTAGGTGAGAGAATTCATGAGTCTAAGATTGTCAGAAAAATCTTGAGATCATTACCAGAAAGATTTAGACAAAGTTACGGCTATCGAGGAGAACAAGGATCTAGATGTTGTTAAGATTGAAGAATTGGTTGGATATCTCCAAACTTATGGACTCACCATATCTCAACCTAAAACGAACAAGTCTATATCTTTGAACACTGTTAAGGAGGAAGAGTATGATTAATCTGATTTGGAATCACTTAATGATGAGGAAACATCCTACTTTGTTAAGAATTTCCAAAAAAAATGTTTAGAAACAAGAAAAAGACTAAAGAGAGACATAGATGTAATTTCAATGAGTCTAGAAAGAGATCTAAATCTGTGAGATGTCTTAAGTGTTAAGGTTTTGGCCAGTATAGAAGTGAATGCCCTAATGGTAAGAGCAATCAGGGTATAGCTATGAATGCAACTTTCACTAATGACGAATCTACCTCGGATAATCAAAGTAAGATGTCTACAAATGATGAGAGTGAAAAGTTTATGGCCTTCACTGCTAAGATTAAAAGCAAATCCGATAAGGACGGTGAAAAGGTTGAGGAAGTAGATAGTAGTGAGAATTCTGAGGGAGACTCTGAGGATGAGACAAATATTCGCGAGGCATACCGACATTTATTTGATAAGAGTCTAAAGATAAAGAGGTTAATAAAGTCGTATTAAAAAAGGTTAATGAACTTGAATTAGAAAGAGAAACTCATAGCTAACCTTCAAGATTCTACCAAAAATTTGAATAAGTTGAAAGTTGTCAATGAGAACCTAGAAGCTAAGGTTAAAATGTTAACAAGTGACCTAGAAAAATCCAAAACTCAACTTCATACCTTCTTAAGTGGTTCTCAAAAACTTAATAATCTTTTAGGGATGAACAAGCCAACTGGAAATAGGCAGGGTCTAGGATATGTTCAAATTGATAACAATACTGCTAATGCATCCAAGACCATATTTGACCTAGCCACCAACAAACTTAGGAATATTGCTAATCCTGAACCCAAGGGCAAGAGTGTCTTAGGATCGAGACCTACCAGACAATGTAGGACCAATCGAACTATAAATCGATATCAACCATCACGTAGTTTTGAACCTAGGTTTATTCCCACTTATCACAATTGTGGTGCACTGAGACACACAAAGTTTAGGTGTCATAAATTCCTGAATAGAAATAGAAATCGGAATTTCACTATATTTAGAAATCAAAATTTTGATAGTTGAATTGATTTCCTCACTAATCAAGTGAGTCATTTGACCAAGTTAATGATACAATTGACTCGAAATAAGTCTTCACTAGACATGTTTGGGTGAAAATGAGTGATTTGGAAAA